GAGAGAAGTGCAGCAGGAAGAGGAGCTGGGACTCACAGGCCCTGCCAGTGACATTTAATCCCTCTGCTGTCCTCTTGGCATATATTCTGGGCTCTGGTCCACGTTGGGGCTTTGCTGGAGGTGGCTCCAAAAGCAGCAAAGGGGTTTCTGTGGAGAGAGGAGCAGATGGGAAGTGCCAGAGCAAGGGGAGGGGTCTGCCCAGGGGCTGGGACCTGCCTGGGGGCCAGCAGCACTTCTGGGAAGCTGAGCCCTGGCCAGGGGAAGCTGCTCTGACCCTTCTGCCCGTGTCCAGGGGATCTTCATCTCGCGCATCGCGGAGGGAGGCGCAGCCCATCGGGACGGGATCCTGCACGTCGGGGACCGGGTCATCTCGGTGAGTGTGGGGCTGCAGGGAGGGCCTGGCCCAGGCTCCTGCCCCTCCTCGCCCAGGGGCTGCTTTTCCTCTCGTGGAAGCTGGATTTTGGGGGTCCTTTCCTCAGCCTCCTGGGGGGATGTTTCATTTTGCTGGCTCTCCCTGCCAGGGACGGGCGGTGGGTGCCGTCCGTGTCTCCCCTTCCCCCAGGCACTGCCTGTGGGCACATTCCCACAGGAATGGCATTGGTAGCCCAGGATGGACCTCAGAGGGACAAATGTGACAGCCCTGCCTCCCCTGGGGTCCCTCAGGGCCTGGCAGGATGGGCTGGGGGCTCTGCCACAGCGTGGTGGGTGGGGAGGGACCCCCGTGGCCACCGCGTCTCCTCCTCCTTGAGTTGGGAACTCCAGCCCCACTTTCCCTTCCTGGCTGTGCCAGTGTTGGATCTCACTGCTGCCTCTAACCTCCTCTCTCTGCCTGATGTGCCACTTCCCCCCCTCCTGTGGGGAGGGTCTGCTCAGGCTCCTGACCCTCTTCCCAAGCTCGCATGCTGCTCCTGCTGGAAGCTCCGGCCCCTGGTGCTGGTGGTGGGTTTTCTGCTCCAGCTGCTGTGGTAAGAGCACGTGTTACCACAGAGCTGGCGTGAGTAAACACTGATACAGCCTCGTCAGTGCTGGCTTCTGTCTGCTCTATCCCTAGGCTGGGGCTGTCTTCTCTTTCAGGGAGTCATGGGGTGGGTTGGGGGGACCTTAGAGACCACCCAGTGCCCCCCTGCATGGGCAGGGACACCTCCCAGCAGCCCAGGCTGCTCCAAGCCCCATCCAACCTGCCCTTCAACACCCCCAGGGATGGGGCAGCCACAGCTTCCCTGGGCAACCTGGACCAGGGTCTCCCCACCATTTGCTCTGGCACAGAATTTCAGTGGAGCTCTGGCCCAGGTGTGACCTTCGGATCTTGGCAGGACACTTGAACAGCATCTGTCCCTCCTTGCCAGGGCTTCCCCCCCCCTCCCAGAGTCAAGCCCTGACCCTGGTAGCTTCCACCAGCCTGAATTATGTTGGTGTTGCTCCTCTTGTGATGCTCCACACGACCTGGGAGGCTGCAGACACAGCCTGTGGAGTTGGTTCACCCTACCTGGGGCAGGGAGGAAACACAAGATCTCAGAATAGAGTCACAAGTCAAACCTGTCTCCACCCCCATCAGCAGCTCTATTTATATCTGTGGTATCTGGGCAGCTTCATAGGAAAAGCAGATCTCATTCCCTGGTTATAGATTGCAGGGTCTTCAGAAGGCTCTGCTGGGCTCAGGGCCCTTGTCAGCTCTCACTGTGCTGAAGGCCCTGCTGCCACTGTCCTCTGACAGCAGAGAGGCCTGATCCAGGGGCTGGGGGAGCTGGATCAGGGGCTGGGGGAGCTGGAT